CCATAACATATGACTGAAAATAAATCTTTGCCAAAGAAGGGCACTAACACTTTTTTATCACCACTTTTACAGAACTTCCACTGCTATATGTAAAAGTATTTACTGTATTCCCACAGGTTATCAGTATTAGGAATTAGTCTGTTGTCTAATGTCTGAGCTGCAGACAACTTTCTTGGTCTGTAATAGTAGGCTACATACCTTAAGCATGGTCTGATGATCTGAAATGAGTTTCGCATTCTGCATGGCAACACTTCGGAGTGTGCTGCTGAGCTCTGAGCATTGCTGGCTTAAGTGCTCATTAAGGACCTGGTTAGACAGGAGAAGGATTACAAACACATTTTCAGGCGTTTGGGTTTTTTTTTTCTGCATAGTAGGCTGTCAGAAATATTTTAGAAATCTCTTGCAGATGTGGAAAAATCTATTTTAGGTAGGAAGTGTCCAAAATTTTTTTTTTCAGGTAGTCCCAATTTATGGTAGACTTATTCCAAGGTATTAAAAGTCTACAATAATGGGAAAAAAAGAGAACATGGTTTAAACTACCAATCAAACATAATCAATTAGTTTTGAAGTCCAGAAAAATGTAACATTTCTAAGGCAAAGAAGGCTAAAATTGAAAATGGACCCCTACTAATTTCATAGTTGAATTACTGTAGATATCCAAAGAAAAATGGAACTTTCTCTGAAAGACATATCCAAATCCCATTACCAGTGAACACCACCCAATAAACAAGGGACTGTTGTGAGGGAGGGGAAAAAATAGAAAAATGTGTTCTAAAAAGAAGGAAAGTAGAATAAAAAAAGGAAAGTGGATAGAAACATGTAGCATCTAAAGGTGAAAAGGAATATAAATGTACTACTTCAAGGGTAGATAGAAGAGGGAGCAGCAGTAGTTCTGCATGTCCTGGCCCCTGAAGAAGACACTTTGAAAAAAAGCTGATTCAAAAGAAGTATTGGGAAGAAAATTTTCCAGCCTTAAGGCTAGGAAATCTGGAACTGTTACCTAGGCAAGTGATTGAATTCCTTCACTGGAAGTTGTTCATTAGCCCACATAACCTGAGGGCATTAAACTCTGTCTCCTGACCTGCATCTGAGGCTTCCCAGTAAATGTATAATAATTTCTCACTGTAATCACTTGTTTTGTTAGACTTTATTTCCACTTTAAAACCAAGAGTAGCTATTCTTGTTACCTGTACTTTCTCTGCTGTTTCTCGCAGGGTGGTCATTTTAGACTGAAGTTGCAGGTTCTCTTTGCACTGTTTGCTAAAGGACAGCTGTGCATTCTAAGGGGCAATAAAACAGAGCATCCACAGAGAAAAAATTTACATGTCACTTAGCCAGGCACTTCACAAATATCAAGTCTTTGTTTCATACTTGCCTGTTTCCTTGAAGCTATCGTCCCATGGCTATGTGCTCTTGCAAGCACCAGACATGGCTCCTAGTCAAGCCTCTTGCTGAAATATACCTTGAAATAATAGCCAAAGTGCTACCTGCTCTAACATAGCTTTGAAACTTGAGGGTGACTTCATATTCTTCTTAGCTCAAATTTACTACTCTCCACTACATTACTCAACACTTCTGAACTTAAAAAATCTCCCTGCCAGAAGCGGTACAATTCAGAACTGAATCCTTTGCCAGCACTGTGAGACTCAAACTTTTACCCCATCTTCACTGAAACTTACTTTCAGAGAAGACTTCAAACAGCACACACAGTCCCTACATAGGCAGTAAGCATACCTCTTTGCTCATTTAGTACCCAGTGGACCAAGGTTCTGATTTTTCCATAGTATTAATCACCAACCCATCTATTTGTCTCCTTTGTATGCAATACTTGTGCTACCACAACTGTGTTTTGTGGTCAGTTCTAGCTTGTCGAGGAAGGCATTCATATCACTGTTTTGGTATTCCAGTGGAATATGAAAGTTAATATTTCAAAAAATAAGTAGGGCAATCCCAAACTGGTAAAATAAGACATTCAATGGTTAGTAGCCTTAGTTGCATTTGGTATTTGTCCACATAAAAATTCTGCCTCTGAAGTGGGGTGTACTTGAAAGGCCCCATACAGGCTGTTCTGATCTTTATTTAGCTATTTTCCTCAACGATACTTGATTACAACTTACTTTCGCTTCTTCACCAAGCTGGGAAATGATACAGTTCCTGGAGTCTAAAAAATAGAGAAGAGTATCAGGACATGTTTTGTTATCTGTTTGGTAATTTTAAAAGGTGACATTTTCATTTAATATTTGAATTCAGCTAAGTTACTGACTATGCCACAAACAGGTAAGACTTCTCTAACTGTGTTGTTCTTTAACGCTTTTCTTGATAATGTCAATATTTCAGCAAAATTGCTTTTTAAAATTGATTCCATAAATTAATATTTAATTTTAAAATTAAGCATGCCATCGTGCCAATCTCCTACACATACCACTTCTGTGGTTGCTTGAGCAAATCAAATAACCCTAAGTCTCTTATTCAGCTGTCTAGAGTGTAAGCAACTGATTTGTCCTGACTATAACCCAGAGCCCACATGCATCTTTACAAGTTTTTGTGCATTGACAAAGAACAATAGTTACATCCCTGCTTAAACCATACAGATCTAAAAGCAGAAGCATTTTTGTTGGAATTTGAAGCAACCTGCCTACAATAGCTAGCCCCTTATTCTGCTGTGCTGTACAACACACTGGAAAAAAGGAAGACAAGAGGCAATTCAGCATGAGCAGGGTAGAGAGGGAAATCTAGTCAAAACCTTATGACATCCAAGGTATCATCAAAGAATCACTCAAAAGTTCCTTCAATTAACAAAGGGAAAAAGCCTCGATCAGCAGGATTATTTGATACAGAAGAACATTTGTGTGTCTCAAATTTGTTATTTGTACATGGATTTGTTCTGAAGGGAAGAATTCTTCTGCCATCATTCTCCTCTATTCAGCTAACTCCGCCACAACATGACAAGTTTCTCTTCTCTTGCCATGCCTTATGCAGAAACTCTGACTGCCTTTTGTGAGCTACGGGTTAATTATCACACGCATGATTCACAGAATAACAAACAGAACATGGGAAACAGGAACACTTCTGTAGAAGTAGTAGCTAGAAGTCTGAAGCAGGTCGTGAGGGAAGGATCACAAGAACAATAATTATGCTAGGATTTAGGCATGGTTATCATGAGTTATTTGGGAATACAGAACAGACTGTAGGTTAGGAACGTTACCTTTAAGAATATGGAGCCTACCCCTACCCTGGAGTGCATTAAATGAGTTAGCTCCCTTATAAGCAGATACTTCCACATCAACAGACTGGGAATCTAAATGAGATCAACTAGAAGCTTAGCCAAGATGCTTGTCCTTATACTGATGTTTAATAGAGCACATTTTTTTAATCAGCTGCAAAAAAGACTCGATAGCAATGGGCATTCTACTTGCCCATCAGTTGAGGAATCATGTGTTAATGGTTACTTGTTAGATGAAGTCTCCTCTGAAAAGTATTTATGTGATGGTATCTTTTCATATTATTGTTGTGTATTCATTACTCTGATTACCACTGTGGTTAGTTTCCTCTAGGTAAGAAGAGGCTTCAGAAACATCACATGAAAAACAAAGGCCTTTAATATTTCATCACCTGTTAAGCTGCCCTCCATTCCTGTTGACTGATATACCGGCCACAGGTCTGGAGGACCTCAGTGCTTGCTTCCTCTCACTGTGGAAGCAGTGGAAGAAGGGCTAAAAAGATATGACAAGACCCCGCTGTCCTACCCAGCTCAGCTTTCAGTTGTGCGCACTGTTGCTCCAGCTGGGCAGTTCTTTCCTCCTCCTCTTGCTGCCTCACTCGGGCTAGCCGGACATCTTTACGCAACTCTTGGCAGTTCTGCTGTAATATCTGTACCTGCAAAGACATCACAGATTGTTCTTTAAGATGCAGAATTCAGTCAGGCAAACCTAAGCAAATTTCAGAGCCTGAAAAGTTGATCTAACTGGAAAAGATATAGCCTGATCAGCTTCCCCTCTCTTTCTGCTTGTCCCAATCTTACACAGAAAACTTTTATGGCAAGCAACTCAATTTCTGTTTGTAATGCAGTTTATGCATGCTTAAAATCCTCTTTACAGGATTGTAAAGGCATGACAGGCAGACCCTAACAAGTCTGCACAATTAAAGATTACAGAAAAGATCAAGCTATAAAAGATGAAGGTGAACACAACACTCAAGGCATTTAACAAGTCTGTCTCATGCTGTTTTGTGAGGAATTTTTTTTTGCTTAAATGCTAACTAATAAATATACCACAGGGTCAACTATACCCATCAGAAAGTGACAGATGAATTAAACTAAGTCTCTGCTTCTCACATGATGTATGATTCATATAAGTCAATAATGTATCCATCAGTTCTCGACTTCTAGTGTAGAAGAACACAAAGACGATAAAAGGCATGTAGGAAAAAAATCTAGTAATTTCTAACAGAACTTTGTATGTTTCAGGAACTAAGAGACCTCGATGACCATCAAAAAATTGAAAAAAAAAACCCAACCCCTTAGTTATTCAAGCTTTGATACTTTGCTATTTATTTTCTTTTATCCTCACTAAACTGTTGCTATGAATTCAAAAGTGTTAGAGTGACTGCATGTGGCTTGTGCATGTATGCATGCAGAGAAGGAGATTGGTTTTGGTTTTTTGAATTATGTGTAAGCTAGTTCATTTCTACCCTGAACTACGGTACTTTCTACCATGAAGTACCACACTCAAAAAAAAAACCCAGCTAGATAACACAACTATAGCTGAGAATAAAAATGTAGCTTTGTCATTATGGCAATTAATGGAGAAAACATTCTTACTCCCAGAAGGTTTAAGATCTCAACAAAATATTTTTCAGAAATTGCATTTTCTGTCTATCTATTTATCAGTACCTCAATTGTAAAAAGGCTTGTTTAACCTGGTGAAGAAGAGGTTATGGCAGGATCCAGTTGCAGCTCACAAATCTGAGAGGTAGTTACAAAGATTATGAAGTCAAACTCTTTCCAGTTGCATCGAATGATTTAAGAAGGGGCATGGTCCCAAATTTAAGCTTGGAACGTTCACATCAGATGCTAGAAAAAATTCTTGACTGGAACATAACTGCAGCACTATAAAAAATATCTAAAGCAGCCACAGAATCACAGTCCTTGTACTCTGCTAGACAAACCCACTGCTGCCCCAATCCAGTGTTTGCAGTACTCCTACTCTGAGCAGGAAGTTGGACTACATGATCTCTTCTGATCAACATTTGCACAAAATGTTGTCGTTATAAAGTGTTTCAACTGGTTTCTAGGAACAACATCCAAGTTCTTGTTCTTCCTCCCAGACGAGAAAATAAAAACAGATACAAAAGAAGGCTGAAAGTTTCTCAAACCTGCTTCCGTTCTGCTTCTACTGTTGTTTCCATGTCCTGTACATGACACATCACAGTTGCTTGGGACTCCTCCAAAGACTCCCGCAAACTGATCTCCTGGGACAGCTGTTCTCTTAGCTAGAAAAAATAAATGCTTTCTGACCCAGGTTTAATTAAACAGATTGAACAAATACTTTGACATCATGTATGAAAGATGTTCTGTCTGGCTATTTAGTTATGAGCATGGCTGGCAGGTTCCTTTGCGTTGTGCACATCCCAAAATTGCACTCAGAATATTATTTAAGGATCTTCTTAAACCTCTAAATAATAATCAGCAAATTCAGCCTCCTACTAAGCTCCTTGCTCTTGTACTTACCTCCTGAAGTCTACAGTTAATTTTCTGCTTCATGTTCCTCAGTTCCTCAGCTGCAATCACCTAAAGAAGATGAAAGGAACAGATATTTTTATCCTTTCACGTTCTTAACTATTGCAAAAGCAATAGGTTTTATAAAATGCAACTGTCATGCTAACACCTAGAACTTGACTTCTATCTCCAGTCTGATGTTCTCTGTTCTGAAGCACTGAATGTAACACTGCAAGCACTAAGAAGCAACACATTCTTTAATACAATTAATGAGATTTAGTGACATACTCCATTGAAGTTCTCTTCAGGGGAGATAGTAATAGAAGTGTAAGGCCAAAATACCAGAGAAAGATAAGTTCCTCGAAAAACAGAAAAGCTATTGAGAAATCTATGCATGAAAGCTAGGATGAACTTAAGTCATGAAGACAAGATAATTACAAATCTCAAATATTTTATTGTTGATTTGCTATGGGTTTTTTTTTAATTGATGGAAGCACATATTCTCATTATCAAAAGCATTTGCTCTTACTGACAATAATATATCATAACCTACTTTTTCCAGCTGAGCATACTTTCCATTTAACTGGAACGATGAATGTACTTAAAAACAACTCTGTTTATTATCTTGTTATAGTTTCAAGTACTATCTGTTGCACCTTGGGTGCAGTTGTAATCTCCAGAGCAGTACTCAGTCTCTGAACTTCTTTTGCTTTTTCTTCAGCCTCTTTCATATCACTTAGGTGTTGGCGCAACTTCATTGCTTCTTGCTGCACAATCTTCATTTCTTGCAAATGCTCCTTGTGGATTGCACTTAGGCGCTGCTCCAGCTGGGCTGCCACATGAAAATGCAAAAAACCTTAATTGACAGAAAAAGTATATGGAGGGACAATGAAGGATGAAGTGGTAAAAAAACCTTTTTTACTACCTGCATGCTTTGGATTCAGTTCCTTTTCTGTCTGCAGCCGGAAGATGTTTAATTTCAGTGTCTGTACAACACTCTCTAACCGGCACATTCGATTCACCAATGTTTCACAGTTTTTCCACAGCGTATTTTCTCCCACAAAGGCTACCTTGGCCTGCACAGGGCTAATGGCTGGGTGACAAGCAGGTGTTTCTGAGGTCTTTGAGTGGAAATGACCAAGGCTGAAAAGGAGAAAAGAGTGACCTACTCTGTGTATGCATACCTACCTGACATTGCACATAACAGATGTGATTAGATTAGAAACCACACTTCACAGATCTCGAAGGTTTCCTGTGCCACCAGGTTGCCATAGCCTATTCTCACTGACTCTGCCAGTACCAGCTCCCTCACAGAGTGAGGAGCAAAGCATGGCAAGGGGCTGCGAAGAGGAACAAGATGAGGAAAATCGAGAAAAGCATGAGCTCTCCGAGAAGGAAAAAGCTTACCCCCGCATTCTCCCTACCTCTGCCCATCAACGCCGAGCGCCTCCACGTCTCGCACCAGTGCGCTGGTTTGCTCTTCCACCGCCCTCATCCTCAGCTGCAGCACCGCGAAGGCCTCGGGCGCGGTCGCCCTGATGCTCGTGGGCACGATGGTTGGCCTGGCCATTGCCGCTCCGATGGTCTGCTGCTCCCGCCCTGCGGGGAACC